ATATATATATATATATATAAATAAATTTACTTATTTTGCTAATTGCTAATTAAAATTTTTTATTTATGTTTTAGGGCTTGCTACGATGCTTATATACATTAATTGTGTGACAAATTACATATGTTTAAATATGGTGATTTTTATGTAAATAATTATACAAATTCTCATATTTGTGGATACTACTTATGTAATATTTAAAAATGTCCCAAGGAGAAGGTGCTGCTGTTGCAGTACCTAATAATCAAAACGGTGCGGTAGCACATAATCTTCACAGTCTTGCTGGTGTTATAGGACCAGTTTTAAATAATAATAACATGAATATAGCTAGAAATAACAATAATCAAAACCCACTGATTAATGTACGGGATAGATTATTTCACGCATTATTTATCAAAGCAGCTCTAGCCTATGCACGAACATTTCCAAGGCCTGTTAGGAGATTTATAGAATTTATAGTCCTTTTAAAGGTATGCACAAGACGTTTATTATTTAACATAACAAGTTACTAATACAAGTAAATGATTTATATAAATAAAAAATAAATAAATAAAAAATTAAACTGAAAAATTAAAAATTGAAAACTGAACTTATATCAAAGTTTTAAATAAACAAAAAGAAAGTAATAAAATAAACTATATATATATATATACATATATGTAATAAAATAAACTATATATATACATATATATATATATATATATATATATATAAAGATGTCATGAATCTCTTATTTACAGGCTATATTGGCATTTTTTGTATTGGCTTATATTCATATAGTATTTTCACGTGCACCAACTAATTGTTTAGAACACATAAGAGATGAATGGCCACGAGATGGTATACTGAGAGTCGAAATTCTTAGAAATGGTGGTGAAGATTATAGTATAGAGAAAAGTTATGCCAAAGAAGAAAAATTGAGACAAGAAAAAGTTGATGATTTAACTAATGCTTTAGGAATATTAACTGGAGATGGGTGAGTTAAAATATAAATATTTACAAAATATAAAATTACATTAATGCTTTGTTAATTTAAGTATAGAGAGCAAAATGTATATTTTTATTTATTATATCAGTTTTATAAATATTGAACCATCTGCTGTTGATGAAGAACGAGATACTATAAACGTCTCTGCCGAAGAGAATCATGAGAATTTGACACTACATGAACAGGATGTAATAACAAGTGCTACTATTTCTGGAGAAACGCAGAATCCTGATCTAAGCACAACAAATACAACAATGAGCCCATCATTATCAACAAAGCTTTGGAATGGTTTAAATATAGCTAAAAAAATGGTATGTACATCTCCTGAAGATATTAATAACATGATTTGAAGATATTAATAACAACACTTGATACTTTAATATAGCATTTTAAAATTTATAAACATTAACAATTTTTTAATATTATATCTTTTGTAATTAAGGAATAATTTGTACATAATTATTTTATCGCTATTTGTTCTTTATAAAGTTAAAATATAATGCACAAAAAAGATTGCATGTAGAAAAGACAATATGTGTGTAGAGATGTGTGTAGAGATGAACACATGCACGCGCACACGCGCACGCACATACACACGCGCGCGCGCGCACAGTGAGAGCAAAAAGTATTCATACAAGGAAATTTTTATAAAAAATGTCTTATTTGTAGAAAATAAACTTAATATTAATTAGCAATTTTATACAATGAATACATTCTATTCTTATATTAACAAACGAGCTTTGCCTATATTGTTGATTTCTTGATTGTACGAATACTTTTTGAGCATCCAAACAATACAATTTTTTATTTTTACTTATATTTTCTACAATTAATACACATCGTTTTGGTATATTATAATTTTAAGAAACATACTATCTATTTTATTTATAAATAAATTGTTAATTACATAACAAGAAATGATCGTCAATTAAACGATCGACATCGAATCGACGTCAAATTAGTATTGAAATCATCGTATCGATATCGATTCAACATTAATTTGATGACATTTCTCGCTGGATAATATTTATTTTTTAAAAACACAGTTTTTTTTAATATTTTCTCTGTATGAATACTTTTTGCAC